TTTGGAACTGGCAGACGAAATGTGGTTCCTGCGAAGACTGTGCCCTGGTCTGTTGCACATAGGCTAAATAAAAATGCGAAATATTGATTCTAATAGTGACAAATGTTAGTGTAACTACATCGAATTTATTAGCTACAGTATCGGTTGAGTCAATTTTCTGCTACCCTCCAGCACGATTTGTTTATTCTAACGTCTAACCGAGAGAACATTATAAAAGCGCTGATTGAGTTTCTGATACACTCGGAAGAAAAACTTTCATTGAAATATCGTTCATGGGGAGATCATTTTTATTGTCCTGTATAAGATATTCCTGGATGAGCTTCAAAGATCACTAGATAGTGTATTTTTATTAAAAAAATGAATTGTCAGGTAAAAGATATTACTCAGGTTGTCTAATTATTTTCAGGGCTGTATTTAAATGCAAAATGATTCAATTGTATTCAGATTGTGTTCATTATAAGAAAAGCACGAGTCTCAAAAATATTGTCGTAAAATCATATCATACGATAGCACTGAATGGTGATAATGATTGAGGCATTTGATTGCTTGTCTTCTAACCAAGTACATCAGTTTTTCGGCTTGTCCATGTAAGACAGCAGTTCATTAATCAGTTTTTGAATTTTTTTCAAAATAAACACTCTAAATGTATCACTAGGCGCAGTTTTTAAAAGTGATTATGAATCTGACATTTTTTTAAAGCAAAATATTTTGATGTTAAAAATCGAACATTGAACTTTTCAAAATTTTGGTAAATGGGGAAAATCTCGATGAAAATATCATTATGGGTTACAAGATTAAAAAATATATGGATTATGATGAACACAAATTATGGAAAAATTCTCGGAGCGATACATCATCCGAAATAAATTTAATAATTGATTGTTTAAATCTAAGCATAGAAATAAAGCTAACTGATTGCTAGTATATAATACTTTACCTGATGTCTCCGCTTGCTGAAACTGTTGGCCTGATTTGTCAGCTTGTTTCGGCGAATTTGGGTTTTTAGGTGAATAATGTGGTGGTAGCTTCATTGATTTCTTTTTAGTGTCATCATCATCTATTGTAATATTGAGCATTTCACTTGTAATAGTAGTCAGAAGAGGTATAGTCGTAGTGGATGGATTATAATTCTCTCGTTCTTCTTTCTCTTTCCTATTAGAACGTACTCCAAGTTTATTATCCGGTAATGTTTTAATGCCAAACGCTAATGATTCACGAGGTGAATTTAGTGTATCTCTTGCGTTAGTTCTCGGAGCAGCTGTGACACATTGGATTGTTTTGCCTGAAATTGATAAACCTGACCATTGTGTTGCAAATGTGTTGGCTTCTTCTTCATTGGCAAAACCATTAATCCATGCATAAGGAATCTCGTTATTTTTGACTTTTGGAACGAAAATACGAGACGTCGGCAGACTTAATATTTTAGCTAGCTGAAAGAAGGTAATAGACGCAGGAAGAGAGACCATTTTAACTCTCCAACCACCAGCTGAAAGATTTGATGCCATTTTCTTTTTTCAATTCAAAAAGAGAAGTAGATAATTTTAACAAGTGTGTATGTATGTTGGCTAAAACTGCAAGAATAAGAAATGTGGAAAGTTATTTGCTTACAGTTAACACGTTCTATGTGAGCAAGCAAATAATTTTATTGATGTGATGTTGTTTTTTTTTCATTCTTCCTTGCATTTTATAGTCGACGTACACATGAGGTAAAAAAAATACCCAAAGAAGAGGGACATTCTCATCGTGGGAAAAATTAGGCAAAAGACTTAAATTATGAAATTTAGTTGTCTATATTAACATAATACACCTTCAAGGTTGGGTATGAATGTGGTTATGCCTACTCTTCAATTTACACTCACACCTACACCCTTCAAATATTATCATCAACGAATAACCTATGAAGAATAATATAATAGAAGATAGGTAGATCTTTTGTTGTTTTCTTACTAGGGTGTGGGTGTGGGTGGGTGGGTATGGGGTGTGGGTGGTGTGGGTGGGGTGTGGGTGTAGGATTTCGGAACTTCGCCAATAAGACTTTCGCCAAATAGGACTCTCGCCAATGGCGAAGGTCCATTGTACTTTCGCCAGTACAGCCCCTGGACTTTCGCCAATTAGCGAAAGTGCAGTGAGCTTTCGCCAATGCACCCCCTGGAATTTCGCCAATTGGCGAAAGTCCACTGTACTTTCGCCGATATACCCTTTGGAATTTCGCCAATTGGTGGAAGTACAGTGGGCTTTCGCCAATTTGACTGCGATCTAGATATAGATTCGAAAATTTCTGTCGGCTATATTTATGAGTGCAAGCTATGATAAACATTCTAACAACATTAGCTGCAGCTAGAGCCCGTTGGATCTACTGGGACCCGAACCCAACTGGTTGCGGGTCTGAAAGCTTTTTAATCACTGAGTTCGTGTCTGGGTTCGGAAAACTTTACTAATCGGATCGAGATCCAAAGAAATAAATCATGTATATTATAATCTTTTTGGAATTTCTTTCAATTTTTCTCTTAAAAGACCCATCAATCGGGTTCGGCTCCAGAAATTCTTGAATTCGACAGACTGTAGCTTCAACTCTTACAAAACCATTGCCATCGCCCGTCGTGCAGGTTCTTGCGTAGACTGAGTCAAATGCTTGAGTAGTATATTCTGTTTTTGGTCTCAGTTTAACAGATTGATCTTTATTATGTACGGTTATATATGGTGATCTTTCAAGTGAATTTGGGTAGGTGTGGATGGGTGGGGGTGTGAGTATCTTTCCCAAACCTGCAACTACATCCACACCCACACTGGTTCGTTTACCGCTAAAAGTGGTCCGGTATTCGCAATATGGGTATGAATTAAATAAAAATGAGTATGTTGAAGCAGCAAAAATAATATTTTAATTAATTTCAATAGAAACAATATCATTGTAATATTCTTCATAAATGCCATAAAGATCTATTATTCTCTTTTTTTAAATATTATCTCAAGATATATTATATCTATATTTATGTGAATCATTTGAGATCAATAAATTCCTAATAATAGAAGTCTAATAGTATTTGCGATGAGTTTTTATCGGTTTCTCTCGAATGGTTTATTCGAGTATTACATATCAATATTTTCTTCATTCATACAGACACCTTCTTTTTTCATCTCAATTTTTGTACTAATTTTATTCTTGGCATCGCCGTCATCTTGGAAAAAAAAGAAAATGAGTCATAATGCCATTCATATAGAATCGAAATAGAAGAGAAAAAGAACAGCATATTTCGTGTAGTTGTGCAAATCTCTTATCGAAAGGAAGAAGAAGAAAAGAGCACAAATGTCGCATTCTTCTTTACTGTTAAATTCTATTTACTTAGGATGCCTATAAAACACCCAAAGAGAAAGGTAAGACGTGTGCACAAACTTTCGACGAGAAACAATACAGCTTTAATAATACCAGAGTAAGTTATTCAACATGATAATATTCAGTATTTCTCGAACTTGATATCTAATTTCAGTCTAAAAATTTCCATACTTGAAAAAGTCATAGAAAACAAATGGAATCTCCAACAGTTTCAAAAAATGGCTCCTCATCTTTTTACAATGAACGACAAGGACATTGTTCAATTTGTTCAGAAAATGATGTTAAATTGGTCAATCTCTCAAAGAATTGTAAACATTTATCAAATTGTTGTGTTCCATGTTTAACACAAAGTATTTCTACTGATATTGAATCAAAAGGAGCTTATTCATTTCAATGTCCGATGCCAGCATGCAATATTAAATTCGAACCTGAAGAATATTATCAATTATTAGACAAACGATTGGTTGGTATTGTAGATAAATTATTGTTACATCGAATACTTGAAATTAATGAAGAATTCAGATGGTGCAAATCAAGCAAAGGATGCGGTGCTGGACAACTTGTATCGAATCATAAGGATTTACTTGGGTATGTTAGATAACGTGCATTCATTTTAATAAGGTAACATACAAAACAAAATCTTTGTCAAGCATTCTAAAGAGAAAATTTATAAAAAATGAAGATTTTAACGTATTGAAATTTACTATTCAAAATTGTTTTTTTTTATATAGAATGTTTAATCGAACATGAAAGTTTTCGACACAGTGTTAAATCAAGTTGAATATTTGATAGAATAAATCGACTTGTCCACGTAACTCGCTACTTCGCTGATTAAGTCTTGAAAAATCTCAACATTTTTTTTCGGAATTCAACACATTTGGATATGTTACCAGATGCAAATTTTTGCGCTGATTACAAATTTGATATTAATTTTGTAAAAAAATTAAATTTTGATGTCGAAAAACGAATTTAAAAATTTTCAAAAATCGTATTTTGTATTTATTAATCACAAATTTTTCTCAAACAATATTGAGAATGCTATTATTCGATGCAGAATTTGATTCCCTACAAAATGGTCTATTCAGTTTTGTCATTTGTAGCTAACAAGAACTTATAGAATGCAGTACAGTTCCTAGTTTATTGAATAGTTTATGGGTTTTTAGTTCGATGTATCGATCTCATTCTTGCATAAAACAACGATAATATATGGAAGATTAACTACTGTAGAAATCAAGTCATTTTGAACAAGCTAAGTATCTGAAAAATTGAATAAAGACTCAATGTACCACAGCGTTACATTTTTCTTTCTGACTTTTTACGCGAAAACTAATTGCTGGAGGAAAATCTTCTTTACCGTTGAAAGGCTCGTTTCACGCTCTACAACATTGACTCGAGAATTATTTAAGCTAGAAGTTGTCTTTAACGAGAAGTTGAAACTTTAGCGAGAGAACTCTAAAAATCCAGGGTCCTTTTTTTGTCACAGCGTTACGCTTGGACAAGCTGACATATCAGTCAGAAATCTTCAGTTTATCATGAATTATTCTTAAATTTAAAATCTAAATATACATTTCTATGCTCTCTAAATTTCTTTGCCGCCTCGAAAAGTTTCGAATTATTGAGCCAGAAATCAAACGAGTATTGAAATTACGGAAACAATGCCTTAGTTTCATATAGACTAAGCTTGGGTACGTTGTTCTCTCGTAGTTAAAATGAACTATTCATTTGATTTATTTAATTAGCAGCTATATATATTGAGCAAATCAAATTGACAACAATGACCAATCAGTTTAGTTCTGTTAGCCAGAGATTTTTAAAGGAATGACCATTACGACGACTTACCTAGCTAATGTACCTGTATGTTTCTATCAGTTAATTATTTATTATTTCGATATTTTTCGATTGTATAATATCGTTATATTATACGTGTTCAGTTTTGTTTGCTATTCATCTGTTTTCTTTTATGTTCTATAAATGAAGATTTAACTGTAGAATTCGTTCTATGATCAGAATTAAACAAAGCTATTCTTCGGTTAGATCAATCATAGAATGTGAAGAAAAAAATTTATCTTACCGAATGAATCTGCTGAAATTTTTTTTTACAAGCAAAGAATGTTTCAGATGCATTTATAGATCTCTCTTTTAATAGATTAATTATTGATAATATGAACAGCCCCTCTATCTCAGAAACCAACTTTGTTATTTTTCGATCGATTTCAAACCACATTTTGGGAGAATATTAATCTAGGCTAAGATAGATTACGGGTGAAATATCTCCCCCAAATTCCAATATACTAACGAGTTATAGACAATTTATTGGTCAAAAGTATCCTGTACGCGGGCAAGATTTTCGCAATCAGGATACGAGCTAACATGCAGGGACGCTTTTTAAGTTGTAGAGTACCCTTAGGGCTAGATTCTAACAGAGCCCGATTTTTGAAATCCTCTTTGCTTTTTAAAAAAATCTTTTCCGAAAAATTCTCGAATTCATGGCCAGAAAAATCGCTGATAAAAATGAAATACGTAAGCTTTTTATTCCACCAATAGAGAAATTCAAAAATCGGGCTCATTGAGGATCTAATCCTCAATGTCCTCTATACAATAAAAAAAAATGATCACTTCTCTATTGAGTCGTTATTAAAAAATACGTTGCCCCCGTAAACGGTATGATCGAAATAATTGAATTTGAGAAAGCGGAGAATAAGTTTTTAAAAACCTTATTTTTTTCAATATGGGCCTTAAATTTCATCATAAAATCAATCAACTATAATACATTCGAGGGTAGACAGTTTGCTCTATCGAATGAGTTATTAACCGCAAAATCGATAAATTTGACCAAAATTGACTTTTCTGAGGGGTGGGGGGGGAGGAAGCGTATGGATTCATAGCAGAACTCTTACTTATTTACGAAATGTTCAATTTTTTCATGGATTACTGATCAAGCATTTCTAGAGTGCAATTTAGTTTCTTGCAAACTCTGACCAGTGTAATAAATTATGATCAAATAAGCAATATACTAGAGAAACTGATCTGAAGAGTCCCAAAAGAAATTCTTCATCAATTTTTTTTTCATAGTCAAAATCCACAGATAAATCTTCATTGTGTCTGTAAAAGATAACAGATAATTGTATTCCGAAAATGGTTGCATCTTAAAAACACAAAGGTATAGTATTTGCTTATGAGAGGATCGGTTATTCTCGCTTGTAACTGGAAAGACAAAAAGCTGATGATCAAATTCCAATTCTCTATTTCTCTCGGAATAAAATATTTTTTGGTGGAAACCAATTAAACGTGTTTCATTTTGTTAAACTAATAAAGTCATTAGATTCCATATCAGAAAAGATAATATATCAAGATATAGAATTCTTTCAAAAAAAAAATATTTTGATATGAAAACAGTGATAACGGATGAGGCGAAAGTTTTCGGACAAAATGTTTGCTAACTTTTAACCCACTTGAAAATATTTCTGACGGGTTGAAACCTATCGATTACAAACAGAATTTTGTGTTCTTTCAAAATATGGACTTAGAAATTTTCTGTCAGTTTTTGTTCGAGCGTAGTGAGGGAATCTTTGAAAGGCCTGAAAAATTAATTTGGGCAGGAGATTTTTTTATATTTTAACTATTCCGATTCGAAACTAAAAGTTGGAACCTTTATTATTCTACCAGTCGGTCGAGCAAAATCTGCCCTACAAAATGTACTATTAGAGTTTTTTTGGTTGTTAGGCAAGACATCTCAATGTTCGTTTTTCCTATATCCTTATTTTTGAGAAATCAACTTTTTGACCACAAGTCATTTTCCACAAAAAGGAGCTCCTGGAAAAATACATAACTTCACTTATGTAAAAGCTACAATGTAATTCAATATCACATTTTGTAAATAAGTGTCCGTTCTACAAAACTATCGTGTCAGATAAATTTGAGCATCTTGAAAAAAGTGATATTTATACATGAGTTAGGAAAAAACTGTTTAGGCGACGTTCAAATTACTTTTTAAAGCCTTTTAAAGATTTATTCACTGCTCTTGAATAAAAAGAGATACACAATTTCTAAGTTCATATTCAGAATCAGGACAAAATTCTGGTTCTAATTTATACCTTTTGATATGTTTGAAATACTTTCAAACAGACCAAAATGAACAAACATTGTGCCCAGAAACTTCTGTTCACATGTTCCATCCAAACTATTTTTTCAGGTCTTTCAAAGATTCTGCCACTACTCTGTAACAAAACTGACACAAAATTTCTAAGATCATATTTTGAAAGAGCACAAAATTCTGATTGTAATCCATAGGATTCAACTCGTCTGAAATATTTTCAAGTGGGCCAAAAATTAGCAAACATTTTGTCTGAAAACTTTCGACTCATCCGTTATATATTTAAAAATTTGAAAAATTTTGAAGATCTATATTAGATTAAATAAATTGATAAAATTATTGAGTTATTCTTTATTTATAGGTATTATGCATGTTATGCTTGTGGAGAAATGTTATGTTTTCGTCACTCAATTGAATGGCATAAAGGTTTTACTTGTGATGAATTTGATGCTGAAAGAGCCCGAAACGATGATTTAGCCTCTGATGTAACTGTTCTTGCATTTACTAAGAAATGTCCAAATGCATTATGTGCTACTCCAATAATGAAACATGAAGGATGTGATGTCATGACTTGTTGTCGGTTTGGAACTCATGTTTGTGCTGAATCGAAAGGTACTTGTGATCATGGAGGACGAAACTATTGTGGACAACGCTTTTGTTGGATTTGCCTCGGGAAAATCGACATCGATAAGAAGACAAACGCTTTTAAAAGACATTGCAAAGCAAATTGCAAGTATAATTCATTGAATTAATCAATCTGTCATATTTGACGAAATGATCATATGTTTAAAATTATATAAGAACTTCTCTATATATTCATCATTCTTTTAAAATTATTAAATACGATTCAGCAACTTCCTTCTTTTGTTTTATTAATGATAGAGAAATAGTGACTATGATAAGCAAATCAAATTTGTTTTATACCTTTTTATTAGTTCAATACGATTTTAAAATATGGAAAACAGACTTCGATGCACAGATAATCAAATAACTATTAAGCTTTTATAAATTATCAATTTTTGAGATGTTTCTACTTGATAAATCAATAGTTATTTCAATTTTAATAAAAAATTTCATATGTGCATCGATTGTATAGATGATGCTTTTTATTGCTAAAACAATCTCACTATAGTTTAACAATATATTGATTTCGATAAGTAATCGATTGATGAGAAGTTTCATTATCTCAGATAATCAAACTTCATTTTAGAATAGTACTAAAAAAACATAAATTATCTACTATTTTAATAAAAACAGTGACATTTTTTTACAGGAGACATATGCTCTTCATTCCATATCCTAGTCTTAAAGCATTTTTTTGAAGAGACTTCGATTAAACAGATAAAAAAACTTGTCATGTGAACATATCAAACATATGCTGAAGTAGAAAAAAGTCGACTGTCAAACCGAACTGATTTAAATTACAAAATTGTATTTATTTAGTAATTGATCGAACATTAATTATATTTATTTCAATCTCGGACATTTTTAAAAAAATTATTTTAAATCAATGAAAAAATAAATTCACTCTAAAAAATTATTTGAATATTATTTCATTCTTCTAATTCTAGAACAAAATCAATTTTCAGATAGTAAAATAGAAGAAGAATTCTACTGTTATTAGACTATAAATAAATTCTATTATTGTCAATTATTCATATAAAATATTTATATTTTTTCTTGATGAGAAACGATCTCTTTCATTGAACATATATTCATTCATTAATTATCTTCGAATATTTCTTTATTAAAACAAACAAGTTAAACTATGGCAGACAAGATCGATTCAGACAACGTTAACAGACAGGTATGAAAAAATTTTCCTCATTAATAAATCGATTTGTATAAGTGACATAACTATATGAGTATATAGATATTTTTTTAAAATCAAATAGTTAATAAATGTGGAAACCTCGGATTTAAATCCGAGTTTAATGTGTACTTCAAAAAGTAAAATATTATTGACGACAGATTGGTTTTGATCAAATTGTCTAAAAAAAATCATCCTGGAGAGTAGGAAGGAATAGGGATCGACCAGCTCACATTGACGAACTTCATTCAAATGAACTTAACTTAAAGTTATACTGAATGTTATAATATGGGTGGATCCATAGGCTCTCAAGGCCTACTATATAGGAATACCCATAGGATAATCCTTAAGGATCTGTTGGTACTCCTATATAACAGCACTTGAGGAACTATTGGTACCCTCTATATTAAAGGACTTGTGGACCTATGAGTATCGCATAGAATAGGTCTTGCAGACCTGTGAGTCGCCCCATAGCACATGAAAGGAGTCATAGATATCTAACCAATCCAGAAGATGGTATGTATAGTTTTTCCTGATGATCAACTTATAGAGTCGAACTATTTGGAAAGGTTAAGTTTGTTGAAAAGAACTGTTCAAGTAGTTCAGTTTGTGGTTGTGAACGTTTTGAACAGCTCATCGGTTCTGAACTTGTCTAGACAGATGAGTCATCATGTAGACATCAAAATTATCCTAGCAAGTTCTTCCTATTAAAACTTGATTTCTACTAGTTATTGCTCACCTAATAGGATTTTGGGGCAAATATGGCTCAGATTTGAACTTTTCACCTTGATTTACCCTAAGGAAGTCGCTTTTTTTCTCTAAAACTGGATTTCTATTGGTTACTGCTCAACCAATGGGATTTCGAGGCAAATGGAGCTCAGATTCGAGTTCTCTGTCCTAGAAAACTTCAAAGTATCATCTCTGTGATTGGAAGATGAAGCTGTAACGTTCGATCAATTAGAACGTGGACAAACAGAACAAATTTTTGTTTAAGTGTGGCTTAGCCTTCTTTTTTCCTAATGTTTTATATACTGTTTTGTAGCTCGTGAAATTCTCCTTCGAATGGTATATAATACCGTGAGGTGTTGTTTGATTATGAGTGGAAAAGTTCTTTTACAAAAATCGAGATAGATCAATAATCACATAGAAAATCATAAGAAAAAATGACTTTTTTGCGATAACTCAGCAATGACTCGATGAATCATTCTCATCTTCGAACTCGACCGAGACATTGTTGAGACGATACTGTACAAAATTTCATCAAGATCGCACTCTCCTTTCAAAAGTTATTGTGGAAACGGCGGGACACACTGATCGATAGTAGAGTGTGCTCACTTTTTGAGTACACAACAAACAAAACGTTGATCAGACAGATTCAATCATATTTGAATTTTCTCAATTCATCAATGTATCACATTTGTTAGATATTTGTTGATAAATTAGTAATTATCTTTAAAATATTCATCTATCATCTAAATAAATTATTTTCCAATTAACTTTTAAATCTTATTCTTATATTAAGAATGAAGAACCTAATGGTTATTTCTTAAAATCTAATCAAACAGATTCCAATGATAAAAAAAATATCAAACGAAATTTAGACAATAAACAACTGCAAGACGATCAAATCGATAGTCACCAACGTTATAATGAACAATCGAATTCCTTTCCCAATAACGAAAATGTTCACAGCTTGAAGAGCACTCGATCTGTTGTCAATAGTTCCACAGATATGGAACATGATTATGTTTCTATTCCAAATAGTCAGATATTATCTGATGAAATGCTGAAAAAACCACAAACATCTAACAATAAATTAAAAAATGATGAAACAATTGACAAATTTCAATACAATAGATCGATATCACTCAATCCTGAATATCATCAATCACAAGAAGCTAATCTACATAAAAGAACCTCTTTAACAATCAATCTTCAAAATACGAGAGATCAATCTCGAGAATCAATCAAAAACAAGACAATAATTAAACATATACAAGAAAATAATTTACTTTCAATTGAATCAACAAACAATAACAATAAATTAAATACTGAACAATATGAACAAACAAAACCAATATCTGATGATTATTCACCGGTATTCTTTTAGAAATTATTTTCTTTTTTTATACATCGAATCATATCTGATAATGAAACTTTTTTTTTTTAAATATTCACCTTTATTAGTTAATTGATAGTTCTCTCAAATAGTAACTAAATCATTTCAGATAATGATTGTTTATTAGATCGGATGAATTTTATTGGCTTCTGTCAATATAATAAACAATCTATTTTAATAAAATAAACGAAATAGGCAAGATTTTAGCTCAGTGTTTTATCCAGAGGGGTGCTCGAGGGGAGCCGCTAGGAAACTGCGGGACCACGTTTTTTTTGGTTCCGATCCCGTGGTTTTAATAGCGAACATTAAAAAAATTTTTAAGAAACCTATTACGGTGTCGCATATAAGTGTGCGTCGTGTAATGTGTATATATTTGATTCTGCTCTTACAAATCGTCTAAATAGTCAATTATTTGTCTATATGTGAATATTATAAACATGTTAATTCTAATAGATATTTGAAAACATCCGTTTTTGTTCTTTTTTATGAAATTATTGATCATCAATCGACTTGAGTTCTTTGTATTTATTCAAAACAATTTTTCGGGACCAGCCCAAAAATGGTTTCAGTTCCGGTCCCGAAATTGGTCGCGCGGGACCCGGACCGAGACCAGAATCATTTTGCAGTTCCCTAGGGACCGCCCCCCGAGACTCGCGATCATCGTACGACGAACTATATGACTTGTCCGCCCCCCTCCCGAAAAAACTTTTTGCCCTCCCGGAATTTCAGATCGTCCCTCCAGAGAAAAGAACCTGGATTAGCTTTATTCAAAATGTTCCTTATTGTCGATTTATGATTTTCATTGACCGAAATTTGACTTCTTGTTTATTATAATGAATCATTTCGGAAAATGAATATTCTAATTCTCTATATAATATAATATGATATTGTTATATACATAAGATACGTCGATTGCTCGAACCAAATTGTGCAGGAATACGAAGTCGAATTGAATTACTTGGTCAATTAATTTCAAGCAAAAAACTTGATTCAATACCTAATGAATACGATCAAATGAAAGATATTATTGCAGCCATTGAACGAAACGATCGTTTTCAATCAGATTCAGATGGTAAATATCTTCATCACTTAACGAATGCAGCAAAAAGTAATTTAAATAGTGATTTAAACAATCTTGATGATGAAATACACCGTCAATTTGGACTTCATTCTGTTGAAGTTACTGGTGATGGAGTAAGAATCGACATACATAGATCTACAATTAGTTTTCTTTTTTTTTTCTTTTTATTATATTGTTAAAAGGCATGTGCCTTTCGAGCTACTCTCATATCCGGTATGTTTATCCAAACAATTCTAATTATGAATAAATATCCTTGTTTAAATGTAGGATTACATAAACCTGATGTATATCATAGTGAATTACGTGAAAGAGCTATTCAACAAGTATTGAATAATATAGATTATTATTCAACTGTATTAAGACCTGGTGAAAAAGTTAGTGAGAAAGAATTGAAAGATTGGGCAAACTCAATGGCTGATCCAAACACCTATGGAGACGAAATGGCTAATATGGCTATAGTAGATAAATATCACATTCAATTGGTTATTTTTCGTGCTGGAGAATTACTTACTGTTGTTAATCCCCGTGATGGATATGTTGAACATACAGCATTTCTTGTCAATGTCGGTACACATTATAAAGCACTTGTACCTGGTTATGAATTAGAAGAGGCACGTAGAAATTCTGAACGTCTCTCAAAAAAAACTTAGTTTATTTGTTTTTTTTTTATTCTTGAATATCACTAACAATTGAGTACTCTTTAAATGATTTATAAAATGACAAGATTTCTTCTTTTAACTGTCAATTTTTAATAGATGACAAAAAATAATTAATTAAAATAATATATTCTATTAAAAATTTGATATTAATAAAATAAATCAATAACATTTTCTAATAAGGATTTACGATTTTAGGACGTTGCTTTTGTATCTTGCTTTGTACCCTGGGAAAAATAATAGTAAGTTAGAATATTACGTCTTGCCCTGCAGAGTATTGAAAAGATTTCACTTTGATATTTTTATGTGATTAATATAAGAGTTAAAAAGGAAATCTAACTTGTATTGATACAGAAACAATTTTTTGTGTTTTTTTTATTGATAGATGTACAATAAACATATTGTAATTATTTTCATGAAGTGAATGAAGAACATAGTTTTAATGAGATAGGAAAAGAAAATACGATAAGAAAAATTCTTGCTGATGAAACCAGGAATTCGTTCAAACCTATTTTTTTTCATTAAGAATTGCTCGAAAGCAAAATAATCGTCCCTGGATGCCAAAGGTTTTTTTGATTCATACTTTAAAATACAAAACTTATTTTTTGTCTTTTGATAAAAGTAGCTGTAAATGATCTGATTCATTCGACGTAGTTGCTGTAGTAGAAGCACTCGAGGAAAAAGAAATCGAAGTAATGTTTCCATCATCAGTCGTTGGAGAATGAATAATAAAAAAAAGTCGAGTTTATCCTTTTATTTGTTTTGAATGTAGTAAAGAACAAGAAAATGACCGAGGAGCACAAATAAACATAAGTCCACTCTCGTAATTTTCTTTCTCTTCTTTTCTGCTATTTCACTTGAAAAATAATCAGTGAGATAGAGCGAACAGTCTGCTGATAAAAGGCATCTTTCTTGTTTTTCTGTGATGTTATATTTTCAGAGCAAATGAAAACACTTTACAGCGAAAATTTTTGTTTGAAATTTTCAGGGCGCACCAGTATGACCCTGTCCTGTGGACACCTCAGCTATGAAACAAATGACATTTGTAATACTTGATTCAACTCAATTAAAATATAATCTAGGATTTAAAATTAGATTCTACATATGTCTATTGTATATATGAAGATCATTGTTATGACAATAAAACATGTTAAACTGATTATCGATATATTTATTCATTCTTATAAAGATATTTATTTGAAAAACAAACAATAGTCTTTTGTGGAACTCACGTATATTTTCGAAGAAAATAGTGAGTGTAAGTTTTAAGTTCAAGATTTGGCGGCTTACCTACCCCATTACAGTCTTTAATAACCGCGCATAAAACGCTGCAGATTTATTTAGTAATACAAAGAAGCAAGTTAAACAGTATGAAGAATATGAGTTCGACTGCTATACAATATTTCAATAGTTTCATAGTTATTCGAAAAAACTATTATATATTTGTTAAAATTCGTAATCTTGTAGTCGTGAACCTTTTCTTATAATTTGAACTTACATGTTAAAAATCAAGGATGTAGAGTAATAATATATATTGACCTGTCATAGCAGTCATATAATTAATATGAGAAGTATTATTCGATATTTTTATCAGTGTAAAAAATAAACAATATCAACATTATCAATTAATTGAAAGATAAGATAGTGTGGTAGGAGTTGCGAATACATATAAATTGCATTATTATAATAGTCCTATGCATCAAATAGTCGATGGCGGAGAAAAATAATTTTCGAGTATATAGCAATAATTATAAACGTTCATCGAGCGAGCTCAAATGAAAAAAGATATTTTCTGTTTTTAATATAGAAATAAATAATAAATTCTCGCTCTTTTTCATCGATTGTCAGTGAAAACAACTATATTTGACAAGAAGTCTTTTAGTTTACAGATGATGCGTCAGGATAACAAAGCGAAAGGTACACGTGAGTTCTACATTTCAACTCCGCAGAAGCTGTGCTAACAAGCTTTTTTGTTTTGCATTGCGTATTGAAAATCACACGAGATTAATTTGTCTAATATATACTTGAAAATAATAATTCAATGTTAAGAATAAATAGCATTAAAAGGGTGTGGGGTGTACGTGGGTGTCTGTGAATAGTTATTATGCTTCATGGAGTGGGTGTGAGGTGAGAGTGAGTGTAGGTATGTGTCCGTGTGTGGGTGTGGGGTAGTGCCCGGCGTGACTGCCATGACTATCAGTGAGTTACGGTCACGGTCAGTCACGGGAACTTTTTCCAAAATTTTGTAAACCCCTGAGGGAGAGTAGGGGGCCTTCGCGAAGCCATCCATCGCTCTCGCAAATCATCGGCTTTTATGAAGGATTGAGAAGTTTGTAGTATTCGTGATTTTGGAAGCCCCTCTAGAGGGACTTTCTCTGGGCTGCAATTCGACCTATATTTTCTGTAATTCTTATATTTTTGAAGAAGTCTTGTTTTTGTCCTATATTTCAATAAAAATTCTTATTTTTCCTATATTTTACCGAAAAAGGAGAAAATTTTCGAAAAACTGTAAGTTTTGCTTTTGTTCTAGTATAGTGTTCAGACGTTGCACAACATATATAGTGTGTGGTTATATGTTTTGAACAAACTCCTACACTACGATGACGTTTTTAAATAGTGTTGTTCAGTACTGAATGTGCTAGTGGTTTTTTGCTTTAAAGATTGGTTTTAACTGATTTTCGTCTGTTATGTTCCATCACCATAAGCTTTCCGATTGATACTGTTTTTCGAAAATTGATTAAGAAACACATGAAACAATTAAAATTTATCTTTAGAATTTGGAAAATTAGTCTTATATTGTATTCAATTAGTGTCACTTAAAAAGGATTTTTCAGTTGAAAACAAATCAAATTAAGTTAGATCTTTTCTATTTTCTTGTACATAAAAAAATTAAGTCTTTATTGGGTAAGACCGAGTGACAATTTTCGTGGTTTAATATTTTTCCTAAATTTTGTGAACTGTGTTCTTTATGATGAGAGGAGAACAGAGTTTTTCATTCTACTGTGTTTGTAATATTGTAGCACTTATTAATTGCTGATGTTCCTAGAAAAATGGCGTTGGACCTGAATCAAATTCAAGAGAACAAAAAGGTCCAACAGATTTCGTAATAGAATAAATATGACCCTTTCATGAGGATGTGTCTTTTTTTAAAGAAATGTTGATCTATTATTTGTCACTTTCATACGACTTTACTCTGAATTTAATGCTATACCGAATCGTATATTAAATAACTGAGAAACTATCTTAATATTGTAGTCTCTGGCTCTTCTGAAAAATGCCGAAATTGAGAAGTTGCGAAATCCAGGCAAAGTTTATCCAATTCAGCTAAAAATTTCAGGAATGATTACTATCATTGTGTTGAACGTTTGCTAAAAGTTTCACATGGATGTAACTTCAGCTTCTAATTGAGCCAAATTGTAAAGAAAAGATTCCCGGTCTTTTAATCATGACAAATAATATTTGAGGTTTTTCGTTTTATCCTTTCAAAGTTTATGGTCTTCTTTTTTTCATTATTCATTGATTAGTGAAAAAGGTTCTAAAACTTTAATTAAAGTTCCTAACGATATTTGATTTAACTATTCATTTCAGTAGAAATGAATCAGATAAGAATCCTGATGGCGAGCCCCCTGTTCTTGCTTGTTTCATTAAAAAGATATCAAGTGAAGAAGTTAATAAAACCAGAAAAATTGAGCAGAAACAATGTATAATAAATCCTATATTTTCGTCATTTTTTATCGAAAATCGTTATTTTAGACGAACTTGATCCTCTAAGGATTCCTATTTTTTAAAAATTCGCAATCGAAGGCCAGAACTTTCTGGAAAGCTTTTTCATCTTGAGGAACCAAAAAAGTTGGTCATGTCGGGCACTAGTGTGGGGTGTGAGTGTGGGTGTTAATTGGATAAGATAAAGAGGATGTGGGTGTGACTGTTTCGATCAAAAACACTCACAACCATACCAACACCCACACGCTCAATATGCCTCTCTGTGCTGGTGTAGAGTATACATAAGACTGTGGGTTTTGGTCTGTGTGGTGTACGAGAGTATGATTGGATTTACGTGAATGTCTGTCTTGCTTTATGTTTGGGTGTTTGCTCATACAGGTGAGAATGCCTGTGTGTCTTCGTGACATGAGCGTGGATGTTCCCGACGGATGTCAGCGTGACTGCCGATCGGGCAGTTGTGGCAGACTGAGTGTTTTTCCGTATGTGTGGGCACTACATCATCTCAGCGTGAGTTGATGGTGGAGGCCTGTGAATGTGAGATAATTGTGGTTGAGAGGGAGTATAGATTTTCATGTACGATGAAAAAGCTATCAACAACCGTATTCACACTTTATGATTCATTGGAAGAAGTTTCTCATTAATATTCAAGACTTTTCGATGGTACTCAAGTATTTTTGAAAGAGTTTTTAATTTGTTATAATAAACATTTCCAGTAACACTGTGACATTTGACTACTTCTATCAAATTACTGCCGAACGACTTTGTCTGAATTTGTAATATCTAGTTTCAAATATTTTTATTGTATGATCTAATTCTACCTTGTCTTTTTTAGTAAGTCTTTTTAAGATTATTGTAACACTTTGTCACTTCCCAATGGTTTGAATTTTAAGATTATAATTTTATCTCAAGAGAATTATTAATCTCGAATCCAAATCATCTTTTTTCCATTGCGACAATACCAATAAGATCATAGCAGCGAGAAATATATCTATGATTAGGCCATAGTTTTTTGAGAAAAACATAATAATACATGATGCGAAAGTCTTGGCACGAAGTCTTTACTCATTTATCGGTCATTTAAAGACAATTGGTTATAGTCAGAAGCAGTTAATTAGAATCAGACTTTTTCACTCTTTTGCAATATGTGTACAGACCTTACTTCTGTGGTGAGACTGGACAATTATCATCATATTGTTTGAAAACTCCAAAATCGTGGTTCTACAGAATACTATTTTTGTCAAATTCGCGCTTTTATTGAAGTCTAGCACATT